TAATACATACCCTGGTTTCCATTCTGAGGTCAGCACATCCTTAAAGTATATAGGCTGATTTAATTCTGTAGTTTTTTTTCTGTTATCCAATGTCTCTATGCAGCTGTTGTTCCTTTCTCATTGGCATTAAGAAAATTCAAAGTTAAAAGAACATTATGCAGTCTATTTCTGGGGGGTTTTATTACCCCTTTCTGTTTATTTAGCATATCCTTTAGAGTTCTGTTTGATCTTTCTATAACTGCTTGACCTGTAGGATGATGTGGTATACCTGTAATATGCTTTATACTATAAGAAGCAAAAAACTGTTTCATTTTAACAGAGACACATGATGGAGCATTGTCAGTTTTTATTTGTACGGGTATACACATGATGGCCATAACTTCTAGCAAATGAGTGATTACAGAATCAGCTTTTTCAGAACTCAAAGCAGTTGCCCATTGAAATCCTGAATAGTATCAATGGTATGGTGTACATATTTCAATTTTCCAAATTCTGCAAAGTGAAACACGTCCATCTGCCAGATTTCATGCCTCTGAGTATCCTTTGGGTTACATCCTGCTGGTAATGGTGTTTGATTGTAGAAGGAACAAGTAGGACATTTCTTTACTACTTCCTTGGCTTGTTGCCAGGTTATGGAAAAATCCTTTTTAAACCTTTACTATTGACATGTTTTTTATGAAATTTGGAGGCCTCCAGCACATTACCTATCAATAATTTATCAATCTCATTATTGCCTTGTTTTAGAGGGCCTGGCAGACCACTATGAGGTCAGATGTAAGTTATATATAAAGGATGACTCCTTTTCCTGATAGGATCTTGTAATTGAATAAATAGTGAAGTTAATTGTGAAGCATCAGGGATAAATTCTGCAGTCTCAATATGTAATACTCTTTCAGCATATGACAGTCAGTTACTATGTTGAGAGGTTCTGAAAAATCCATTAATACCAACAGAATAGCATACAATTCTGATTTTTGAACGAAATTATAAGGACTTTGAACCACTTTACTTAAATTTTCTGATTTGTAACCTGCCTTTCCTTGTTTGTTGGCATCTGTATAAAATGTACAAACTCCAGATATGGGTTTTTCCCATATAATTTGAAGCAAGACCCAATCATCTCTCTTTAAAAGATCAATTCTTTCACTTTTTGGATATTTGCTGTTAATTTGTCCCCAAAAAAATTACTGCAAGCTCTTTGCCAAGTTTCACTTGCTATCCATAATTTTTCAATGTCCTCCTTATTTAAAGGTATGACAATTTCTGCTGGGTCTATTCCTGCTAACTGACGAAAGCTCAATTTTCCTTTGCAAATCAAGTCAGAGATTTTTTTCCCATAAGTTTTTAATTTTTTATTTGGTTTATTTGGTAAAAATATCCATTCCAATATAATATCTTCCCTCTGCATTAATATTCCAGTAGCAGAATATCTTCTAATATTTCTCTCAGAAACGTGTGCTAGTTTATGGTTTATTTCTGAGATTGGAGGGATGTTAATCTGTGTATTCCATTGTTGCAAC